CTAACCAGCGAAAGCGACGTCGATCATTTCAAGGTGGCATTACCAAAAAGCGAGAGCAGAGTAAAGCAGTTTGAGCCACTCGCTTCTCGACGTTCTCGATGGAAGAGATGTCTCCTTCTGGTCTCCTTGTCACGTCCGAACTTATTTCGACCTCATGCCACGGTCTCCAGACACATATGTTGATACCTTCAGGAACGGTCTCTCCTGGATCCACCCGACGTGTGGGATCATTGAACGTGAACAGCACTGTTCCCTCCTCAACCTCCGTCTCGTGCGATGAATCATCTTTCATGACGCGGCACTGAGCGAGGACGTTGTACAGAGCGCCAGGAGTGCCGTTAAAAGTGGGCTTGTGGGATGTGTGAACGATCCTCATGACTTGCAAACGAAGGTCCGGAGTGACTTGGCGCGAGGACGCAAGCTGCGTTTCCACTTCTTTTTGCCACAATGAATAGGCGGTTCGGGAACGTGTCATCAGGTGGTCCGCACGTTCGGCCAATCCATTGCTTTGGCATACGACATGAGTCGAAACTCTGGTACTTGTAATATTGAACCCACCGTAGAAGTTTCTTTCCTGAACCGTGAGTCTTTCCTGGACTAAGCATAATTCCTCTCTGTTCCTCTGACGCCAACCTTCCTTCACCAGCCAATCTCCCGTCTAAGGATGACCTGAGTGATGCCACTTCAATTTCCACGTGCGAAGAGGCCTCTAAACTCCTCGCAACTTTCGTTGTGGTTATTGTAGCGAGTGCAGCCGGCGGAGGTGAGTGCAATTCCGATATCAGATGGGCTTTAAGAGAGTGCAATACATGGCGTTGTTTAACGTCTCGGGGGGAGACGTCAAAATTAATCGGCCTTATGTGAGATTTGTAGGGTGTCTTGTTTGGTGTCGTTAACGCTCGTGAACGTGGCAGGGAATCAAAGATCGTTTTGGGGAGCTCAATATCATTTTCTGGTTGCTGTATGGAGAATTTTGGAGGTTGTTTTGGAGTGCGGAGATTCGACGTTATATTCGACGGTTTAGAGCTCGGCCCAGGAACCTCATACAGAGCTGGACGCAGGATTGGTTTCAGATGCTTTGATTCAGTTGTTTGGTGGGGAGAATGGGAGTGGAAACCAAATCCTCCAGGAGCGGACTGGGGCCGGTGTCGTTTGTGCTGCTGCAATGCTCAGCGAATGGGATGAATTTCTCAAATTTCTTTGAATGCTCACTTCTGTTGACTCGCTAGGTTGAGGCTTTCTCTTGGTAGGAAGAAAACTGTCTGGCAGCGAATTCATTGTGCTCTTGTCATGCATGTTGCAACTTGAATTGGTCGCGTCACCGTCACGTCGCGTCCTCGAACCTGTCACATGACTTTCACCTCATCATGACCACTGATTTCCTCGCAGATTTCGGAGATCTTGGTTTATTGGACGACCCAGAAAATGCTCAATGTAGAGGAGAAAGACTCAGCACCGCGTTTCAACAAAGTAAGATTGACTTTACGAGTGAAAAGGCATTTACAGAGTCCTCCGTGAGTCGCCCATTGCACTACTTGATCCATAGCAACTTATTGCATGTGCCGCACAGTGGTACGACCCTCCGGAGATTCCACCTCCTTCCCCCCTACTGGTTAGAAATATCGACTATCTGATTCAAAAGCTCTATTTGCAAGGAAAATTCTCAGACACACTCCAATTAGTACTGTCACAGATTGAAATGGAGCAAGAAAACGATGGTAAGAACGGCCGGACAAAGGAACTCTTTGACATAGCCATGCGCTGTGCGATACGCTTGAATGATGCGAAAGTCGTGGAAAGTTTGGCAAGCAAGACAGTGCCATGGGTGAGTTGGGATTATGGCTGGTTCGGAAATGCAAAGTGTCGACCATTGTCATTCCAGTGGCATTCTGCTCCTGGCCTGGCTGAGTTATCTGCGAATGCATACTTAATTGCTCGTCGTCCACGAGGTGCGGTGTTGCGGCTCATGGAAATGATTTGTTTCATCATTACACAATCAGACGCTCTATCTGGCGCACTTTGTGCTATACATCTGCGCGGGACATTGCCACCTTACATATCACTCGTAGCTCAGGCGTTGGAAATGCTGCAGCAAGATGCCTCTAATACGCAAAGTTTCGATTCAATGCTATCAGTAGTCAAGCCACACACCAGTCCCTTCCGACCGTTGTTCCCCGAACTTCTCTGGGCCGACCGACCTAGAGGGCAGTCACGGACAGAGGCTGGCATTATTTTGGACCCAGTGGATGTCTTTGCTGCAAAATCATTCGCAGAATCTTGTGGAATCAGCGTCTTAGATCAGGATCGGCTTGTTCGTCTGCTCTGCCGCCAACGAAATGCCTCTGAAGATGTGGAGCATAGCGACAAGACTGTAAGATCGCTATAAAACTTACTATCATGCTCTCGTGCACGTTCCGATATTACGAATAATAATTGTGCGTTTTGGTGACACTCGGCATTTTCGGGCATTAAAGATGGGTCCCTTTAACGTGGCAGAGTTCTTGGTCGCCGTACTGGCCGCCTGGGTCAAGCAGGGATGAACATGCTTCGTGGCTGTGCTGGTGTCATTCATTGCACAACTACTCTTGCGTTTGTCGTGAGAGTATGAGTGTTTCAGAGAACTGGTGAACCGTGCGATGGTTTCATCCCTTCACTTTGCAATCCCATCTGTGAGGATGTCCACATCGATGTGCGCTTGTTGTTTCACTTTCCTAACATTTGATGGCAACACGCGCCCACACGCCCAGCAGAGCCTCCGATGTGGTAATCTGATCGAATACCGTGCACAGCCCCTGTATTTAGTTGCATGAGAACGGCCATTGAATTTATTTCCGCGCGTTAGATGGTAAGCCTCTTCACGTCTTTCTCTTTCACGCCAATCTGATCACCCATTCCTCTCTTTATGCATCAGTACAGACGGGCAACTTATTTATGTTTCGTACTTCTTTCGTTCTTTGGCTCTTCGTCTGCGCAGACGTCAACTCCCCACACATTCGATTGGGGATTCACATTCTTAAACGTAAGCCACATTGTCAAACCCAAAGCACAACGCTTAGTGTCCTGTTTCCAGGCTACTACGCGGACACTTCGAGAATGTGACACCATACCAATGGAGGCATTGTCAGCGGATGGTGGTAGTGTACCTCCATCATCTTTGGACGCTGTACCGCCGTATATCATGCATTCATTTTCACCAAATATGGTCGGGTTGCAAGATGTAGTCGGCAGTAACGCATCGGCGTTGAACTGGATTGTGAGGTACCCAGCGGGTAGGCTCAGATATTATTTTTTTGCACTTAAATTTTAAATCATAAAGTCAGGATCGCCATTGATATTAAGTATGGTTGATTCTGGTGGGCACCAAGGAGGAGTAGAGGCCCAGTACACTGTTGTTGGTGAGTTCTGGAAGGCATATGTTTTCGAGATCAAATTCTGATACGCCACCTACTCGTGGCTGGTAGCTGGATCCACTAATGCGTGTCTCCCTCAACCAGTGGCAACGACCTTCCAGGTCACTGCTAACGCAACGATATTGAACACTTGCGATGCCTTGAAATTATCAATTTCTGGAGGAAAAAAGCCATACACGCTCTCGGTTCTCATTACAGATATTAGTGAGGACACTGTGATGATGGGTCCTAATGATGACCAGTTCACATGGATAAACAAGGCCCCACCAAATACAACAGTTCTAGGTCCGTCCGTCGTCCCACGGGTGCGAATATATTGACTCATTTTGTGCAGTATCTGCGCAGGATGCGTGAGTGCCAGCGGTGTTGTCTTTGCTTGCTCAGTCATTGAACAGCCATCCGTAGGAATGGTCAAATGTCTGTCTCTACCGGACTCGTCTTGACGACAGGTGGAATTGACGTGACTTGCCCGGGTCGTCAGAGCTTTCCTGGGAGTTCTACGGCCACCAGCACGTCGATGTCTTCCACAAGCTATAGCAGCCTCTCGCCATCGCCTAGTGGGACCTCACTGCCAAATACCGGACCTGTGAAGATGACGCGTAATAGTAATGCAGCCGTCATTGCTGGCGGCGTCGCCGGAGGCATTACTTTATTGTTAGCCGCATTTCTGGCTGTAGGGTGTCTCCGCAAGAAGCCCCGCGCCCATGTATCCCAAAAGGTTGATTTGGAAGGCCCATCTGGTGAAACAGGCAGCCTCTTGTATCCAACATCATATGCATCCGGCCAGAGTGTAGACCGTGATGCACGATCTTCTACTCGCGGTAACTCTGAAGGTTTCTTCAACGGACGCGGCCGTGCGGCATTAAACATTGAAGTCACGAGTCCTGCACTTATTCATAGCCCACCATTAACGAATCCATACGGTTCAACCAGTTTTGATTCTGATACTGCATCGGACCAAGGTTTAGTCTATAACGCAGACAGACCATTCTCTCCGCAGTATCGCGATGAGGGCTCTTCACGATCGCGCTTGCTCGTCGCGAATACGGACCGCGATCCATCGTCCAGTAGCAGAGCCTCTTCAGCATACCGGAAAACTGAGCCACCGCAACAAGAGGAAGTTATCGTACTTCGGCATAGAGATGCTGGCCCTGCTTTGGAGGAGTTGCCACCAGCTTATGGGGAGCAGTCAAATGGGAACCGATAGATTAATGGACGGTTTGGATGGACTTGTAATATAGATGGGCTTCGGTTATGTTTCCTGTTGCACTTCGGACCCAGCGGACCTTCATCATGTACTGACACTGTATCCATTGATTGACCTACGCACCTACCGCTGCTCGCGGTGCCAAAAGGCCTAAATTATAATAAAAATTATTCTACATAGCCATTGCAGCTCCCCGATATGGAACTCCTGCCGCTTGGACACTCGACCCCAACAGCCCAATAAGATTCCACCAACCTGTCTAGCCACAACCTTGCGGTGAACCAAGAACTCGAAAATCTAAACCAAAGGCGACTTCATTTTCATAAGCGTCTTCCGAAAGGTCTTGACCTCCTCATATTACAAGTACACGAGTAGGGAAAAAGTGACAAGGGTGGGATTTGAACCCACGCCTGGATTAACCAGATGAGAATTTTCACCCCAAAGGGCAAGCTTTCGCTTGAGTCACACACCTTGGACCGCTCGGTCACCTTGCCTTCCTAGGCATTGCACAATTAAAAAATATATCCAGTCCGGTGTTTCTAAAGAGTAGCATGCTTGATGTGCATAAGTATAGTCGCAACAATTCCAATGGAACTTTACCGCATCATGCATGCCACGACTCGCCGGCCAAAACAGAGGTTCTACGTTTAATTAGATTCTGAAGAGTATGGAAGCGTCGTGCAAGCTTGTTCGCAGAAGGGCATATGTTATGAACCAAGAGCGTTCTTCCACTTTGTCCCGCCAAGCTCACCCAAGACTCTCTCCACCTCATTCTGTTCAATGTTTAATATCACTCTTCTCTCGCTGTCTGCCTTCTTTGATGCCATTGCGCCGTCTTCGATGAGCATCGCGTGAGAGGCAAGTAACGAGTCTAACACCACAGCAAGTTCTGCTGTTGATGGCTTGCGACCGGAGTCGGTGCTACCTGTTAGGACGTTGACGTATATCAAGTGTTGATATTGAATCTGAAGTATTTTTCCATTAGCGTGTAGTACTTCTTCAACCAGTGACAATAAACATACGTCTCCCCATTTGACTTCTTCGACGCCGCTCCGTCTTTGGCATTTCAGAAGCGCAGCAAGCATAATTCTCTCGTGGAGACTGCAGTCCCGTAAATAAGCGGCTGTTGGACTATTCTGCATTATTGTGATGACTTTCTTGACATCTTCGGTTCGAGCAGGTCGTGACATCGGCTGGACAAGTTCAACAGCTCGCCTATCATCCAGGTGAATGCGAGGATATACGGAACACGGTGAGTGGCATACCTGCATATGTCAAGAACTCGACGAGCATCACCACTAATGGAAGACACTTTCATAGCAGCGAACTTGATACCATCACGCATGATCACGTCCGGAAGATCTTCGTGCAAGGCCTCCTTCGCACTCTGTAATCGAGCATGAACAATCTTCTCCAGTTGCTGCGTAGTATATGGCTGAAAATTTATCCGAACCATGCCTGGAGTCATCAGAGGGTCATGTAAATATGGTGCAGTTTGACACTGGACATATGAATGAAATCACCAAGTCGACTGCGTACACGTCCGCTCATCACCCTCTCGGGCAAATCCATAGTATTGGCAACGGCAATAACAACCAGCTTTGAACCGACTAGGGTTGGCCAGTTAAAAAAGTTGTAAATGACGTCTTGTTTCGCGGTCACCAGCTGGTCCAATTCATCCATCAAAACAACGCTGGAAGGAACGTTTGCGAGAAGAATTAATTAATTAGCTAGCCGCACGTTCGGGAAGTTAAAGTTATATACCATGAATGTCCACCTGGTCCCGCTCGAACGCCTTGCCCAAAATGTTTTGTCAATTTCTTCAGAGCCTCTTTTGAACTTATTTTCAAGTGTCCGTCGTTGGCTGCATCGTGTCCGGAGACGCCTTCCCACAACAAGTTATATGCCGCCGATGGCTCTGGAATTTTTAAACCGTTGATCTCAACGTATGTGAATGGATTGCTTTCCTGTAAAAGTGAATGACTCAATTCAAGGATCAGCGATAACATGCGCAAATGACAAACATTTCTCTCCGCCATACGTTTCAATTCGCGAATGATGCCATGTACAGTAGCGGTTTTGCCTGTTCCTGGCACTCCTGAGATGTCTTTCATTATATTAAATATTAGGCTGGGGTTAACAGTACGAGATCCGAAGTATGACGACGTACACACGCATCCGCCGCTACCCTCTTCGATAAGGCTTTCGACCGAACCCAATATTTTGACAAACTCTTCCTCTCGGCACGGCAAGGCATCAGGACGAGCGCCGACATGTAGCACCTGCATTGCGCGCAACCAGGGATCCTTTGGAAGACTCTGTATCCTCTCATTGGAATCGTCATATGAAAGAGCCGGTGGGAGAGGGCGGAGTGGTGTGGATTTTGACTTCACTTTTCGGGCCCGGGCCTTGAGAGCTGCTTTGGAGTGTGGGGTTGGAATGGCCGTCTTTACCTTCCGCCGTTTGGGTGGTCGAGGTGTGGAAGTCTGTTGCGTCGCCTTCCGTCTCTTTGAAGGAGTCCTCGGTATAGGGAAGTCACCGTCGTCCTCTTCCTCTTCCTCTGACGTGGGTGGGTCTTCGAGGAGCTCATCGACTTCGTCAGCGTCGGGATTGTCCTCGTCCTCGTGACTTTGGGAATCGTCGTCATCAGCTTCTTCACCAGTTTCATCGCTAGCATCTTCCGATTCGTCACACTGTTTGACCGTTTCCATGTCTTCCACAGGGACTGCCCACGATGTTCCCACTTCGTCGTTTTCAGCCGACATCGCCTCTGCTTGATGCGACTCCCATGTGAACTCATAGAACAAACCGCGTCGCCCATCGACAGCTAGGCCGCAAAACAATGGTTCGTCGACGTTCGGTGCGGGCGGTCTTGCCCTCTTTAGCGAGCTCGTGTAAACCCACTTAGATGATGACCCATCATCCTTGGGTCGTATTGAGGTCACGGAGCAGTGGCGAATGATTTCCGCAGGCGTGAGTATAGTATTCTCATTGATTGAGAAGTATATTTCGGTCTGGAAGAAAATGAGTGACAAACATGGATGAAACCATGCGAAACCATGCCTTGAGGTGATCCCGCCTTGCCCTATGACTTGCAAGCTCTGTTGGTCGTAAAAACCAATGTATCTTCACTCTCTCAACAAGGGAGGTTCCGTCCATGGTACATATTCTCCACATTGCAATAATCACGCCAACACTGGGTGTTTTGGCGGTCGTGCTGACCAGAACAGTGTCGCCAACGTGAAATGTCGGCGCAGTATCCACCTCCTTGCCCTTCTTCTTGGGCTTTCCAACTCTTGAACGAGTGAAGGCATTGTAAAAGTGTGTCTCCATCTCCACATCCTGGTCGATCTTGTCCAAATCGTCAAAGCGAATGTCTAGTGGATTCGTTTCCCGGACCGCCTTCGGTTCTCCTACCCAAGAAAAAACTTGGCCGTCCAGAGCAGTCGTATCAATTTGGCGCGGGATAGGCTGTCCACGCTGTGATCGCCGTGTCGGTGTCGTCAACTGGGTTGTCATAGTGGTTAAGGACAGAGGATGGTGAAGCGTGCACGTGTTGGCAGATGTGATCACGACACGTACACGTGTGACAAGCGCGTGTCGTCACGCGTCTGAATCGTCTTTTATTCCTACGCCATGGTCGAACATCTCGGATTCTCATGTTGGATTAAAAGCAACGGCGAAGAAGTTCCTACCTATCAAGAGACTACAAACGAAAATGTCAAGAGTGCTTGGATTCCAAGCGCATCTGGTTCTGTAAGCAATGCCATGCCGTAATTTACGTGTCCATATAATAAATATGCATAAGACGTTCTCAGTTTGCTGGCAAGACAAAAGCAAAGGGGAAATCGCAACCTCAGGCCGCGTCTTTATTGAAGGTAAAGACGTAGCATCTGCCATTATCCGACCAGGGAGACTAAATCCAGTCGAGCGAGCTGGCGTAAAAACGAAAGGACACCGTATACGGCCATTCAAATTTTCGGAAATAAAACTCACTGGTATCCGTCACTCCAATTAGTCGTCATGGGCCGATTTCTAATCTCAATTTGAGGAAGATGACGATCAGATTGCAAGTCAATACGATACTTCTCTACAAGATATTGGCACAATCAAAGTCGAGATTTCCCATGTACGACTTGGCCAGGAGGTTCCTTTTAAAGGTTATGAAGCGCAAGATCCTGGAATTGCTCACGAACGTGCAAAGAAGGCAGGGGCTCATTGTACCACGTACGCATTCATTCGCATTTGCATGCGCCCTGAGAATAGAGCAGCCAAATTACGTCAAATCGACAGTTTCGAAGAACCAATTCGGTCGAATGCGTCGCGAACAATCGCTGTTTCAACCGAGGCGTACGACAAAAACAGCCCAGGACCCTTCTTAATTTTCGAATTCTTATACAGAAGTCGCGGTAAGCAGGAGTTCTCAAATTTCTAGGTCGTCCATGGTATTAATGCACAGGTATAGAAATGCTTCAAGCTAGCGGAATCATGCCGAAGAAGCGAAAGAAATACGCTCACCCTGCGCCAGACAACATCGTGGTGGCAGAAATTGACCCAATCCGGGTAAGCTCGAAGTGAATACTTAACTGTCTCGTTTGAGTGACACTGCGGTGGATTGGAGGCGGCCAAAAGCATCTCCATAAAGGGTACAAATGGCGACGCAGTAACCACAACGAAGAGACGGAGAGTGAAGGTTGAAGAGATCGGAGAACCGCCCAGGTTCCCCAAGCGAAAGTCGCAGCATGTTACGATGGAAAAAGGCGAGTTTGGAGGGCATAAACGAGAAGACGACGATGAGTTAGACGATGACGACGACGAGCAAATTGACGAGTTGGTCGATGACGACGACGATGGACTGCCGCCACCGACATCTTCACCGGAAATTTCGGCACACCACACTGACGACATGGATGATGATTTCGATTGATGCTCCATTCGTCTCCCGAACATCATTGGGACCTCTTCGTCATTCCAGCATAGAGTAAAAGGACGACCCCACGGCACAGCCACTGCTTCCATTAAAATCACGACACAGCTGCATGGTAAAAATGATCGTCATCACATTATTAATAAAAACTGTATACCATCTCATATCCATAGTTCCAAATTGAATCTGCTCCAAGAAAATAAGGGTTGCTTTGTCATATGGCTGCACGACACCAATTTCGACGAGGAGGGTGGCCATGATTGAGCTTTGAAATTCAAAATCACCACCATGCGCTAAGTCTCAGTACGGTTATCGTTGACTCGCAGCTTCATGCAAAGCAATGATAGAAGCACGCAGACTGTAACGATGGCACCCGTAAATAAATCCTCTCAGGCAGTAAGTCTTTCTCGGAAAATCACCTAATTTGCTCGTGGTGGTATTCTAGGAGCTCGTAGCTGCGTGCCAGGCGGTGTCGCTTGTGACTCAGTGTCAAAAACGTGCATATGGACGTCATGACTGCAGCGTTCTTCAGCCACAAACATGATAGGCCGGCGGTTTCGGCCACAT